TCTCTTTGAACTGTCCTCTCTTTCAAATATCTTTAGAGGTTGCTTCATTTGTATCAATTTTTCAGTAGCAGTTAATTAGTATATTTTCAACCAAAATATTTACTAGGGCCTTCATAGAAACCCAAAGCTTCATGCTTGTAGATCTGGATGGTTAAAAATCAGACATAAAACTATTTTAATATGGAAATGAAGGTTTGATTTCTGCGCCACTAATACCTCATCCATATGTCCTTGGCTCTGTGTAAATGTCACTTAGTAGCTTATGTTATTCAGTTCATTATAAATATTGTCTGAAGTCAAGCTTAAGTAATTCCTTGTACAATGCTATTTACATTACAGGAGCATTTTTGTTTGGTCTCAGCGTTTTCTTTTCTAATCCCTAAGTTAAATTTCTTAACACCTGAAACTTCAGTAACCCATGACATGACAAGCTGTATTTGTCTGAATGTCTTTCCTGAGCAGTGTTTGAAGAAGCAGCCAGTGTAGACACTCTAGCTCTCGTGTTCTTTAACAATAGACAATGTGCTCAGTATGTTTCTTTATGTCATTCACTTAACTTTTTTTGTTCTATTCCAAGTATGATATGAACTCGTGTTATGTATTTTTTTTTTTTTTTTTTTTTTTTTCAGTTTTCATTGGCATAGAAATTCCTTTTTTTTTTTTTTAGAATCAAACATAACTTTGCAAAGTAACAGTAGATAAGAATTAAATATAATAGTGATTTAAAGAAAAAAAAAATTAGAATTTTTATATATATATATAAAGTGTATAATTTTTTTTTTTAATTGCGTCAAACAAAAATAATGCATGAGTGAATTAATTTTTTTAGTGAAAAATTATTTTAACTCAAATGACATGCTCTCTATAAACAGTTCAAAGAAAATGCCAATGTTTTTTTTTTCGGTTGCTGTGTTGTTATTATAGAAGAGAGCCCTTATGTGGAATTCCCAAATGAGACGGTCGTTCGGCTGAGAATCTCGGGTAAAGGGTGTGTGCAGGAACATTTTCCACTGCTCAGGTGGGACTTATTTCAGTGTTCTTAATTAATGTAAGAGAATATTTTTTTGTTGCTTAAATGATATTAATTTTTTATTTATTCAGAAATTTAGGGTCACAAAATAATATGTTGTCTCTAACTTCTTGTCATAGGATAAATATTTTTAACCCATCAATATCATTTTAACATTAAAACTTCAACTTTTTAAAATATTGATGACTTAATAAATTCTGTCATTTTTGTCAGTTAATTTTTTTTTTCATCTGTTAATTTTATACAAATAAATTTCATACACCTAAGAAAGGGCTGTGAAAAAGGAAATCATTTTTTTGGTAACTTTTAAAAAAAAATTGTTCTTTTGTTGTTTTCTTTTTTTTTTTTCTTTTTTATGTTTTTTTTTTTTTTGTGCTGAAATAATAGAACATTTAAATATTTAACAAATTTCATCGTCCTTTGCTGTTTCATTGAAGTGGCTAAAATCTGTTTTATATTATCTATTTTATGAAATCTTTTGTACTTTTGGGGCTCTTACACTTGTAATTGATTGAGACATCCAGTGTTAGTATAAACATACACACAAAAAGTGCTTTGTTTCATCATCTTTCTGCTTAGCTCTCTGAGTAGCACACATCTCTATGATGATTGCTTAAACAAAAATTACTATTTTTCCACTTATCTGCTTCAAATAGCTTAGCCAATTTCCAAAATACAATTTCCATACCTTTCAATCCAAATAAGTATTAGAGTTTTATTCTTTTCAAATATATATTTTGCATCCCAAATTTTATGTTGTACAACCTAAACTTTTTTTTTTTATAAATGTCTCTATTCTAAACAAAGCTAAACTGATGTCCTATTTATTTTAGAACTTCATGTGTCAGTCTAAAAATAAATTTTTTAAAGCATCACAAAAACTATTACCAGTGCATGCACACTGGAATAAAAGAATATTTTCTCCTTGATTTCAGCCAAAACTTTGAAGTTTTTAATAATTTTGCAAGCATGAGATGTTTTAACCATTTATAGAAAATGGCATAGGCCAATGGTGTGAAAAAAAAATTTAACAACTCATATTTGCAAGAGGGGCACAGTGGCTTAGTAATTAAGCGCTTGGCTTCCGACCATGGTGTCCTGGGTTTGAATCTCTGTGAAGACTGGGATTTTGAATTGCTGGATTTTTAGGGTGCCCTGAGTCCACCTAACTCTAATGGGTACCTCACTTTATTTGGGGAAGGTAAAGGAGGTTGGCCGCTGTGCTGGCCACATAACACCCTGCTCATTAACCGTTGGCCAAAGAAACAGATGACCTTAACATCGTCTGCCCTATAGATTGAAGTTCTGAAAGGGGAACTTGACATTTTTGCTAGAAAAATTAAAATGAAGCTTAATTTCAGATTTTAACTATATGTAGTTTCACAAATTAAGAAAATTGTCAACCTTGATCCCTTTTTTTTTTTGTTCTGAACATTTCAATGGAAAAAGCACATGACTTGTTCATTAGGTTAATTCTTGTAAAAGTAATTCATAGAAAGATTGAAGATAAACTGTACATGTTTCTAGGTTTATATGTTTCCCTTCAGTTCAACTCCATATGCAAATCGATTTTTAGGCCATACAAATTCTTAGTAGCTTAATCTTTTTACAAAAGCTCAACATTTTTCATTACTTTTGTTGATGATTTTTTCTATTAATAGAGATACAAAAAAAAAAAAAAAAAGCAAAAAACTCAATTGTAATTATTGAAAAGATTAGGAATTTGTTTTTCTTAAAAGCTACACTTAATTAAATTGTAGTTTGTTTGTTTGTTTTTGCTAAATTTATGTTTTTTTATGGGCTTTCTATTTATAGACAATCTTCCTTATCTGAAAGTCCCCCTTCACACTGTCATCAAGCTAACACCAGTGGCTTATGGTTGTAGAGTAGAGTTTGTAGCTCTTGATATACCTGCTGTCAACACACACCGGGACAGGCCTGTGGTAAGTGAACAATAACTTGGATATGAATTTTAATATTTTTGTTGCTTAAATTGGTGCACTGTTAGTGTTTAATGATAGTTTTGTTAAAATTAAAATTCCACTTTGACATGTTTGGATCTCTTGTATATGGCTCATTCATTTCTAATGATAGTAGTATGTAGCCAGGACAACAATACCCTACCTTTCCTTTGCCCATCTAGTATCTCTCAGAGCTTGATAAGTTTCTAAAATACTAAGTAGATCTATAAATGCCCTTTAAATTGTAGTTAAGTAGTTTAAAAAATTGACTACTCTGCTGAGTGCTGTAATAAGTTTTCAGTACTTCACAAAATGACGGCCATGCTGCTTTACCTAATTTTCAGTATGGTACTTACCAAGAAGGTTACATGAACATTCTTGAGAAACTGAAAAAAAAAAAATTATATTTAAACCACATCTATTTATGTGGACTGAGTATTGTTTACAAGAAAAAATTTCTGAAAATGCACCATGTTGATAAACCAGTTCTATCAATGTCAGGTCTAGGCTTTTCACAATCTTAATTAGTTGATCACCATATTAGTTGATCAATATTTAGGTTGATTTAGGAGTCAGAAATATATGGAGATTAATTCTTTTTTTAGTTCAATTGATGGTGACAAATCAATAAAAAAAAACAATGAACTATATCAATTGTAAGAAAACCGAGGCATGTCCCTCTGGAATTCTTGATTAGATGACAATTAGGAACAAAGGACTGGTAGGGTAGTCTTTTTTTTTTTAATTTGACACTATAAATAATCATTTTATCAAAACCCTTGTCTTTTACTTTGATGTTTTTCAAATTTTAAATTTACATTCTTATTGTTACGGCACATGCTTTTTTATTTTGCTTGACAGAATGTGACTAGGTCCCGATCGACATGTGAAGCCCTGGAGACTGTACCAAACCATGAGTAGTGCAGCTTGACTAGGAAGATTCTGTAATATGGGAATTAAGAAATTGCAAGCATGTTTTTCCCTATTCTTGATTCTCCCATAGACAGAATACCTACAGAGAAATCATTATCCACCATAATCAGACTTGTTCCAACAAAAGTCATTTGGGTGCTTTCCACAAGAAACTTCAGCATTGCTGTGATGCCAACTATTGTGAATGAATAAGGAGAAAAAGAGCTGAAAATATTTGTTTGTACACAGACAACTTCTATTTTAACATTGCAGGTCTACTTTTCTGTGTAACCAATATTTATTTACACTGCCATTTAATCTAGGTTTTGATGTTATCCACTGTACATTATATTTGAAACATTTACATTCCTAGAGCTTAGATACCAAAAGATTGAATAGTGTGTTTCAGCTATTGTAAGTTAATCACATAGAATGATTTGCAGTGTAATTATTTTTTTTTTTTGGCTCTCGTACTCATTATTACGTTGCATACCCAGTACACAAATAAAAAAACTTATCTGACTTCTTTCTAATGTTTTTGAAAGAAAAAAATGTGTTCAAAGTGAAAGCAGTTAGTTGTTTTTTTAGTTAAAATTTTAGAGTGGTCCTATATTTTTATAAAAATATTTAATGTATGCATGATCATTAAAACATCAGTTGCCATCCCACAGTGTTATTAGTGTGATTAAGATTTTAACTGATTTTGATTAACTTTTATTATAAAAATGGAGGTTACACTTTTTCATCTGATCTATCTTAAAGCAGCAATCATAATGTTTATAACAATCTATCTATCTACTAGAATTTATTTGTTTTTGGTTTGAGTTTAAATTTTAGTTTAAACCAGTTTATTTCAAAAACAACTTCAGCCTGTGGTTTCTAATAATTTTCTTGAATCAACACTGTTTTACTCAAGTTATTTTAAAAGTAATATTAGTTTCACGAAGTTTGAATAGAATGCTGTGCTCCTGTGTTATCTTATCTTATATAATACAGACGTTACTTCAAAAAAGAAGATGATTACGTCCTACGCGTCATGCATATTAACCAATGACTTAAATTCTGCCAAGTCACTGGTTTTTCTGGCTAGCTCAGGCAACCCATTCCATGCTCTAATAGCATAACTCAAAGAGTTTCCTTATCTTACTTCCAATTAGACGATTAAGCAATAAGCATTAATATGCATTTTGTGAAGTAGTTTCTGTTGTATTAGGTTTCTTACCATTTATTTATTTTTTTTAATTTTATGTTGACCATAGCAAGATATATTGAAGAGACTTGTATACATTTATAGCTTGTTGCCTAAAAAAGGGTTGGTAAATAAAAGTGACATTTTAGTTATTTTGTCAGTCTTTTTACATTTTATCTAAGTGTACTTGTCAAGTATCATACCTTAGTCTCAATCTATTTAAATGACATTGAAATTATTTTAAAAAAAAGATGTTTTAATTGTATGATTTTTTAATGAACAATAATACTAGAGATGATATAAGGATGAGTAAAGGTAGAAAGCTACATTTTCTGCATAATTAACTGTTGTTAAGATAATCTATTTTAAAGCTTTTTTATAGCGCACAAATTTATGCTGTTGTGTATATTTATAAATATAGAACTATATAGTAGACTAAAATAAACTGAGTATTTAGTAATTTCTTGTGTTGTCATTCTAACTCACTGTTTTGATCATAGTAAATACTAACAAAAATAGCTTATCACCAGATCATTAACATTCTTTACATCCCATACTTTCATTAACCTTCTACTATTGCTCATCTACTCCCTCACAAGCACATTTATTTGGGCAATATTCAATCAAATGAATTGTAGTTTGAAAGAAATCAGGAGAAAAAATAATGAGGAATGTTTGTTAAATATTTTTATTTAGTATGAAAAATTCCATGCACATTAAAATTATATTTAGTTTTAAAATAATAAACACCTTTACCTAAGAAATAGAAAGATCTCCAATTATTTGAAATTGCATGCTAGCTGGTGAAATAGATACTTAATTTGTTAAAAGAAATATTTGTTTAATAATCTAGATCTTTAAAAATAGTTACTAAGAATTTTTTTTTATTGTTGGGAACAATTTAAAAATAAATTAGCCCATTGTGTTTCACTTTTTCTATTATTTTAAATAGCTCCATATGAATGTAATTTATATATATGTAATGAATTTAGGGAGTTGATAAACTGGTCATAGCTCCTGCCAAGATGACATTGATAAGATAGTGATCTATAACATATTCGTATGTAGCCTTTTGCCATTTTTTATTTCAAAATATGTTTCAGCAAACCAATTCTAGATTCTATAATACTGAACCAATTTGTGTAATCTTTGAGTCAAACTCTTTATTCAAGCGTTTGATAGCTTAACATTAATAAGTGTTGATACTTGGCTGTTGGTTTATAGCGCCAAACAGCTAGTACAACTATCCAGTGTAGACATGTTAAATTCTTAATGTACAATTTGAAATAAACTTGTACAAATTCTTTTTAAAACAAAACTGAATAGAACTTTTATTAACAGAAAATATGCACAGCTTTCTTCAATGTAGATAGGTGTAGAAGCAGATGTGAAATAATAAAACACGAAAAAACTCTCTGAAAAAAAAAATAAACGTCTTAATTGTTACTCGTTTCTTCATCAACTCTCACCTCCATTTTATAAACTTGAATAACAACAGACCACACCACTTGTTGGTATCAGAACCCAATCAGCCAACTCAACCATAGAATCCGCCCACCTTTTCTCATAGTTATAACTGAAACATTCCATAATAATAATAGGGAGGTAACCTTTATTTACTACATGCTGCAAAATCGGTTATTACAGCACAGTAGAGTAAAGCTACTGCCATGGCAACACAACGAGGAGATGTCTTTCTACAAGACATCACAAACACAAAAATTCAATATCTGCCTTTAAGTACTGCTTCTTCTCAAGCTCTCTAACTTAATTAAGTGGAACTGCCTTAATTTGTTCTCTACAAAGTCAACATTCATATCAAGTTTAGTCTCTAACAGTGCACGAGCTATATAGAGCTCACCTTCTGCACTAACTTGTGCAATGCAGGGTTATTGCTAGATATAATATATATAATATATAGGGCCTATATAATATATAGGGCATATATATATATACACGCACACTTTATTTAATAAATTTATAGCATTAAAACCTGTTCTGGTTCTAGAAAGAAATTTAAGAAAAGGTTACAGAAAGCCGAAAGATTTTTTGTTCAGGAAATCTATTGATTTGTTACGTAGGACTAAGTTGGTTGACGTACGCGTAAAACATATATATATTCCCCCCCCCCCCCCCCCCCCATTTTTTTTTTGTACGTGGATTTGTTACTTTGCTTATAGCTGCAAAGTTGGCAGCAGAGTTTATAGTTACAGAAGGTCATTGGTGAATCAAGGAAGGTGATTTTTTTTTTCCACAGTTAGATCTAGATTAGAGATCTAAATTCATTGGAACCAAGCTAAACTTGGTGTTAGTGTTAAAATAAATTAGATCATTACACTATAACATGAATCCATTAGGATTAGATCTAGATCTAATAGTTTTTTGTTTAAATGCTTATAATTACATTATCTTCTAATCTATCTAAATCTAGTTAGTTGTTTTCATAGGCAGCGTTAAAACTACTAAATGACAGTGTCAAAATAAAGATTTGTTTGACCAGATTAACCTACTTTTGTAGATCTAGGTCAATCTTCAGGAAGGCGCTAACTAGCATTAGCCGAGATCTGAGAGGGGGGGGGGGGGTAAATAATACACAGTCATAGACTCTCTAAATCAAGATTACTATATTATTATAATCTATATAGATTTCAACACTTGCGTTTTAATTAGCCTTTTGTCTGCTCTTTTAATTAAGAAAACTTATTTTTCCTATGATTTGCTGACCTAGCAAACTTTGAGCATAATTAACTAAATTAGCACGAAAGTCGTCACAAAAATAAATAAAAAAACAAGAACAAAACTGGCTTTAGTTAGTGAGGTATATTGTTCACATAGCAAGACAACATATCAAAATGGTTTCACAAAAATACTGTGCATAATTGAATTTATTAATTATATTTCTGTTTGTTACAGAGTCGGCCTACAAGTCACAGTAGATTCTGCCCCATTCAAGAAGAAACCAACACCAACAGTGGCAGCACATACCTTTCAGTTGCATGTATTTTCTATGGAGTCAGAGATAACCTATATAAATAGACAATCTGGATTCAAGATACTGTAAAGCCCTAGAGCAAAATTAACTTTTCAAAAATCACATTACCACTTTAAAAAAAAATGTCTCTGATAAAACATTTGAAACAACTGTATGGAAGATCCCTAAAGATTCAGAATGTTGCTGGACTTGCTTCCCATCCAGTCTCAGTCCAAAGGGTTCTGTTCAAACTACAAACACAACATCTCCAAGTGATGAGCTCAGAAATGTCCATAAGAAACTTTCATAACTCATCATTTTGTTTTCAAGAAGCACTTCTAAAGAAGAGAGACAGGATGACAGAAATAGACCTGAAAGCAGATGCTGCTGATCTTTTTAAAACTGCTGTCAAGTCAGTGTGTCCTAAAGTGATGATAGAGAATGTCCTACAATACAATCGAGCCACATCGACCTTGAAAGTTCAGGACAAGACCTACACAGTCAACAAAAATATATTTGTAGTTGGTTTTGGCGAAGCTGTTCTTGGTATGGCTAAAGTTGTTGAAGACATCTTAAGCGATCATTTGGTGACTGGTATTATCAGCATTCCAAAAGGATTGAAGGAAGAGATTTTCAATATTGAAAATAACAGGTTAAAAATAAAATAATGGTTTAAGGTTTTTCCTTTTATTTTTTTGGTGGGGATATTTTTTAAATTACTGGTACCATATACTAAAAGTAAAGGTACCCCTTTACAATCTATGGAGCCAGATGATATAGAGATCCTTTTCTCTATTTCTTTCACTTAATGAGGATGTCATGTGGCCTTTGCAACCACTTCTCTAATATATGTCAGGTACCTATAAGAGTTGGATTGACTCAAGATGTCCTAAAGATTCCAATATACAAGATCCCAATTATCACTGGACTTTGAAAGCAGAGTGCTTCACCTTTTGGCCACCATGTCCTAATTATAATATAAAGTAGCCGGTAATAAATTAAATTTTACTTTATCATTTATTCTTAGTAACAACAAATATTCATTTGTAAGCTCATAGATGCAAGGCCACCTCTTTCAATCATAAAACATTTTGTTGAGATGGGGGTGTGATGGCCTAGTGGTAAAGAGCTTGGCTTCCAAATTAAGGGGTCCCAGATTCAAATCCTGGTGAAGACTGAATTTTTTTTTCACTTTGGGATTTTTAGGACGGCCGGGAGTCCACTAACTTAAATGGGCACTTGACTTTGTTGGGGAAAGTAAAGGCATTTGGTTATTGTGCTGGCCACATGACACGTTTGCTTATTAATTGATGGCCAAAATAATAGATCATTTTTAATCCTCAGCCTCCATAGATCGCAAAGTCTGAAAGAGGGAACTTTACATTTTCTTATATATTTGTAGATGTTTTATCAAGTTTTCTTTTACATCATTTGCTAAACAACTTTTTTTTTCTAAACACAAAATAAAAATGTATTTGTGGATTGTGATGGCGAAATGGGAGGTCACTTGGCAGTAAAGCTGTATACTTTTTCAATGAAATTATATGATAGTTAACTTTTATGTTACCGGATGTTAATGTTGATGTGCTGTTTCTTAACTTATTCATTTCTATGATTTGACAGAGATATGTTTCTTTCACCTACTTCTAAGATTCAAGTCTTTGAAGGTGCAGCAACAGTTTCATCTGTAGAAATGGACCAACGTTCATATAATGCTGCTATAGACATTCAAAATTTGGTATCTAACCTCTCACCCAATGATATATTAATTGTAGTTCTTTCAGGTATTGATATAATTCTATTCTATATTATTTCAGTGGTTTTCTAAATATGATGTTACACTGATTGGAGATTTTTTATTTTTTTTGCAGAAGGAGGATCCACATTATGTCCATCACCATATCCACCAATCACTTTGCTAGACCTGTTTGAGCTGACGAGACTATTAGCAAGAAATGGTGCTACAGTGCGTGAAATAAATACAGTTCGTAAAAACATAGAAATTCTAAAAGGTGGAGGACTTGCTTTACTAGCCCGACCTGCAAAGGTAATGTTTGAAATACATTGAAATAATTAGAATTTCTTTTTCAACTGCTTTTCATGCTTATAGCATGCTCACTGCGCTATGGGCCAATCTCTTTTGTGAACACCTAGGGAGAGGTGTCTGGAGAGGGTTTCCATAAAGCATTTATGGCGCTCAGCAAACTAGGCTCAAGTGGAGTATCAAGCTTGAGCTCTCTTAATAGGTGGCCAAGCAGTTTATGCCTTTTAGCTACATATCCACATGTTCTATAGTTATAATTTAAATGATCAAAATCTAAATATAAAAAAATAATTTCTATTAACATGTATATATATTATAAATATTGTTTGACAGCTGTAGTAGGTGTTTCACCATTCTAACTGACAAGTCAAAGGCAATCTTTTTTTTCAGTGATTTCTAAGATATTAGCACCAAAGGATTAGTCATTTTTTAGTCCAATTCAAATT